ACGCGATAAAATGCTGTGAATAGGAAATAGTACAGCCACATTTATATCATGATGCTACATGTAGTTTTATTCATTTTGATAGTGAAGATAAGCTATGGTAGTCGCCAAATGGCTTTAGACAAACGACCATGTCACTAATCTTGAATACCATGAAAGTCTTGCTTTATACGTTTGCTGCCAATCTGACTTACCAATCTTTTGTACTTAAGCCAACAGTTAAGTTCAGGTTAGAATCACGGATTAGGGGGATACAGAATTATCCCACTAGGCAATCTAAACATATAAATTTAGAATTTAGCAACAAACTCAAGGTTTTTTACAGTCCTTCATTCGGAGTGTTTCACGTCATATGTTGGTGGTTACAGTCAATCTGCACCAGTCTGATTATTCCTCCAGTCTATAGTACAACCTATTACGAGGGACTATATCAGCGCTACAAATTAGAGATCAACCATATGCGTGCAAACAATACCATGTTACACTTGAACATGTGTCTTTCAGTGCTGCAGTCGCAACTTTCCGTATATACATATATATATATATATATATATATATATATATATATATATATATATATATATCGATTTCCAACGTCAGGAACAATAAATTGCAGAGTACATCAGTAATACATCATTCAGCTACTAGTCATAATCGATACCAATTGGGATCCCACATATGGTGAACACCAGTCTCACATATGAACATAATATAAAAATTTTACCACTTTACTAATGAATAATGCCAACAGCAAAGACGAAGAGAAAACAAAATTTGAGAAATATAATTTAAACACACTAGTCTTTTTGTTTATACACAACCGGCTTAAGGGTATTAAGATACATGGTTGAAGATAGAAAAACAGACTGCAGAATGAAACTTTGCATATGTGAACGTGTGTGTTTGCAGAAAGAGGAAGGGGACAAATCTTTAGACTATATAAACAACATAAAAGAGTTAATTACCTAATCATTAGTTAGAATTTCCTTTAGTCGTTCAATATAAACTGCTCCACCTGTGTAAGGTAAACAAATAGATACGTATTCTGTTTAAAGTATCAAAGTCTGGTGGGCTGATTTGATATGTGATGAGGTAGTGGTTGAAGCTGGGAGTGAAAGCTGCTTCGTGAAAGAAACCGTCAACAAAGCATTTCAACAGTGTGTCTACCAACGAAAATTCATTCATTAACCAGGATTTCAGTTTTATTTCAACCTTAATTCAAAATGGAAGGTAGACGACTACCCGTCCAACTTTACCAATTCACACACCAGCTCCACTCAATAAATTTTCTCTCTTGGTAGTAAGTTCATTTGTGCATTTTCGTATGTGTACTTATATATGCAGAATGACTACAGTAAACAACATCCGTGGACTAACTCGAAAAACAAATTAAATCCTTACAAATCAACCTCTTGAAAATTATTACTATCACTGAAAAAAAATTACGCAAGCGGACAAATATTCGATACAGTTAACCAGAGGTGGCTTCCAGAGACAAGAAAAAAAATTGCGTAATAAGGAACGGTGTAATGAAAGTAAGGGTTTGGAATTTGATAAGATCAAATTGTTATTAGATAAGAAAGTGGTTGAGTTTCCACTTAACAAGTTTGAAGGAAAGAACAAAATACTAACTAATAGAATGTACGTAAGAGACGTGTAAGAGTGATAACAGTGAATTCCTTACTAGAAATAGGAGCAAACAAGTAAGAAAGAGTTTACTATTATGGTAGAATAAGAGACTAAAAAATCGTTTTCTGCACACAGAGTTCTCAGATGTATCACCGAATCAATTCTGTATTAGTTGTCACTCCCACCCTGGTACTCAACTACTTTATGTTTCAGTGAATAAATAATTGAACTGAACTAACTAGTTGGTCAGATGGTTTATTTGAGTACAAATTTCAGAGTCCCATAGGGACTTTCAAACTGTCAGATAAATAGGACTACAAATTTAAAAAAATTCTGATGGTAAGCGAATATCAGTATAATCATCTCAAAAGTAAAGTTTATAAGTTTATCTAAGTTACGTTATTGATAGAGGATAGAAAATGGAAATGCTGAATTGTAAAATGAATACAAGAAATATATAGTCACCAAGGTTTCATTAAAGACTGTATTTCTACAGATGTATCTTCCTTTATGCAGGTAGCAAAAGTGAAATTTCAATGTAGAATTTTCCACAAGAGTACAGTGGTTTAAGTTGCCACATTTCATTAAAAATATATAAACGTAGAGGAAGGATACATAGAATATTACAACAGATGTAGAGGTGAGAGAATGAGTACATGAATAATGATCAAGACTTAATGATTTACGGAGATCACAAGGAGTGAATACACTCGCACTGTGAAGAACGATTTTGAGACATTTAACACAATCATATGCATTTTAATCAGGCAGTCTACACCTACCTAGGTGACTGAAACCAAATAATCAAAGGCTCCATGGATTAGTGGCATATTTGGTTGAACTATTCCAAACACATTTTCAAGCTAATCTACAACCGTTAACACTGCTCGTCGAAGAAGATTAGCTTTGAATAAACAATTAATGGTGGTCAGATGAACACAAGAAATGAATTCACGAAAGTATTGTCGACTAGCATAGACTATCTGATAGAGCATTACAGACACTGTGAACTTGAGAATCAACTATTTTCCTATAGACAGCCTCATCATACTATTCCGAAACGTTAATGGTTTTTAACTCCACTAAATACATCATCACTGTTATCCTTAGTGGTAATTTATTCTCAATCTTAATTATGTTCTCTTCATAGTAATATGAAATGCGAAGCCTCCAATCAACAAACACCTTTACAAAGATGTGGCTCATTGCTTGAAGCTCTGGAGTTTTTGTCGATCGGCGTCGAATTTTCGAGTCATACCCCGGTAGTATAGTATTATCAGCTCTCAAACATACAGTATGTGATGCTTATAGCCTGATCTAGGTAATTGAGTTCCTATTATATCCACAGAATAATTTATTACTTGCTTTAAAAGAAAAGTCTATTTGCTTCAGATATGCATATTATCAGCAGCTCAATATGGTATCACATAAAGTGATTCAAAGTGAAAGAAAACTTTTCACTATTAATAACAAATTAAATAAAAATTAGCTGGTGTGAAAGGGGAATTCCTCATCTTTCTATAGAAAGAGATAAATGTTAATATGTTAATAACAATAACGTCAACGAAACTCATCACCATTATCAACAACATAAACATCAGCTGTCATTTTGAATTGTTTACACACATAAGGGTCATATTTTCTTTAAAGCATCCTTTTAATTTACAGATTTATTATTATTGTAGCATCTCAAAACTGTTAAACAAAGATACGGAGGAAAGCTTTGTAAGCCCTTAAGCTTAATGATCTTGAAAAAAGGATTTCAAAATTTCGGAACTAATTTTTTATACCTTATAATTATAGCTAGTTGTCGAGTGATTCTAAGTGTATAATTGATCCATACTTCAACCTAAGATTAACCGTTTTCTTTATTTACACAGTTACAGAGTGAAATTCAAGCAGGTCGCTTTTGTGGAATAAAAAAATAAAATAGAAACAACTGGACTATATTTACTGAAAAACAAGAGAGAAAAGTAGTAGGTGGTTTTATCGAATGACGCATTAAAATGAATAAATTCTCCAAACGAAGTACAATTATAAATGATTGGTAGCAATTTATATGAGTAGTATATATATGTATATGCGATTAATACAGGAAAAAAATGAAATACTTCAGAATTTGAATTCAACATGGTGACTAGATTACCGTTAGAAGAACATACGTCTGCGCATATAATAATGATAGGTAATTCACTATCAAAAAACTTACTAATATCAGACAATATTGACGCTTAATTGGAATAAAACGATATTTAAGTTAAGGTTAGTTAACTTATACAAGCAAACAATGTTATCCATCCAGTACAGACAGAAGATAATGGTGATGTACGCAACTATCTAACAAAAGTGATTACTGGGATGAAAAATACTCACGATTGAAGCTCTTACAAAATCCCAGCAACCACTTAGGGACACGGTCAAATTAAAACCTGGGGTCAAACCATGACGACTGTCATCTTTAGTTTGAATCAAACTGAGAGATGCAGACTGCCAGGCCAGGGTCCTCGAGACACTGATAAGCAATACAGATGCATCAACTCTTTACTTTACGAGCTTCCATATCCACTAAATTCTTATTATTATTCCTGCACTTATTCTTTCGCTTATACATTTCCATGAATTATGGTCCCTTTAATATTTTGTCAACCTTTATGTGTTATATGAAGTATGGCGGCTAGAACTGCTACGTATCTATGAAAAGTCCTATGGTGAAAACTCAGTCTATCAGTCAGGTAATCAGTGATTCGATAAATGGCCTCGCTGTGTGATGAAATCTATTTCAATACTTTAAATAGTTGTTGAGACAAACAATAGATTCCACGCTAAAGAAATTAATGCTGTAATGAAAAGAGAAATTACCAAACACTCGATTTCGGTTACCTAAGCATTAATTTACTCCACGCACTGTAACTACTATTTCATTTATTATCATTTTATTCCTGTGTTCCTACTGGAACAAAAGGTTTCAGGCTTGAGCTTTTAAGTTCCAGTGACAGTTACGCTTGTTTTTACGGGGTGGGGTTATTAGCCTCACGCCCAACCTTCCCTCCTTAGCAGGTTTACTACCAGCTGAGCAAGGTTTAGGGGTCAGTCGACCAGGGATCGAACCCCATACCATGTGTGTGGGTGGCGAGTATTTCATCAGTGAACCAGTGACGCACACTGTAACTACTATACTACTCAATAATAGTAGTAGTAGGAGTAGTAGCAAGTTTCACTTTCAGTGTAGATTTTCTTTAATAATACCGTACGTATAGAAGACGGCATATAGGTATAAAATTCAGAATAAAAAATACTGAAAACCTACATAAAAGAAGGATATGTCGAAAATATTTTTTGCATAAAAAAATTAATCATATATTTCATCAACTTACTTGACCTAATAAATCCAGTTTTGCGTAGGATTCAAGTTTTCCAAAACCGATTTCAGACTGAAAAACAAAGGAGACAAATGAATAAATAAACAAAGAAACAATAAGAAAAAAATAAGGGACTAAGGAATTTCTTTTATTAACAAGAAAGACAGACAAATCTTGTAAAAAAAGACATGGAAAAATAAATCAAAACAGATTATCAACAACATGTATGCATGTAAGTACGTGTGTAAACAAAAAAATTTGTCAGGAGGTGAATATTATGCTTCTTTTGCCTACATTCTACTAAACAAGACACTGCTGTAAAGAAATCACTGAACAGATATAAACAAAAAAGAAAACATACTGATCGATAGACTAACAATACCACAAAGCAAATAAATGATAGTGTAATAATGATGAGAGATGCTGATATCACTGAAATATTATAAAAAACAATCCTCGAAATGTTTATACGAGACTGTACAATTAAATTAAGAGATAAACTAAAACAGAAGGGATTAGAACACGAAAATACCTATTCATACTGACCTAAATTATGTAGAATGGCCAAGTGTCAGACGACGGCTGCTAATGAATACACATTATGGATTATGTGGGAACAAGCCGTGAAAAATGTGTGACCGCTAGTTTGAAGTATATGCGGAAGTGTAAGTTGTCCGGCTAGAATACTCAGGATGTTAAAAAGAAGCAGTGGTTGGGAGCTTCTTCATGGACGGCAAGGTTCGAAAGCGATCACAGTGGAGTAGACGTATTCACTTTTAATCATTTGAAAGTCTAAATAAATATGCAGAGTAGAGTTTATTCAACTGCTAGCTGAAATGTTTTTTCTCTTTCTTATCTCTTTTTTGAATATGCAACACATTTTTATCTAATGTACTACCAGTGTAAGGTACCACATAAATCCGTTAGTTGCTTATAAATGTAATATATATAGAGGAGGGTCACATATGTCTGCCATTGACAGATTGGACTAAAGAAAATATACTCATAGGAGTTGCCTCAATAAACGATCTTGTACGGCACAGGGTGGGTAGACTCCGGTCTTCCTCTCGAAATACTCTCATGTAACCACATATACGTAGCCTCTGCTGGGTAAGAATTATTCACTACCTTTACGAGGCAGGGTTGTCTCTCACAAAAATAAAAGGGTGAATACCATATGCCTGGCAGTCATAACCGGACTGGTAGACATGTAGATACATCTAGGAGAGCCAAAAAACCCTGATTCCAGACCCATGATGTACATGTGCTCCAGAATCCTAACATGTTAAATGGAGTATGAACCTGCTTTGGTCGCCACTAAAGCTACTCCGTTGCCTTGTTGATCAGGCTTCAAGTCAAATGCTCACGGGCGTAGCCTCTTAATAAGATAGCCACCTGCTTCCGGGTAATACCGCAGCCCTCGCACAAACTGCTGTGAGATTTTGTGAGGGGCATCTCTTGGTGCTAATAATGTACCAAGTTGTTTTAATAAATAAAAATAATAAATAATACTCGTAGGAACTGATTCCAAAATTCATTCATACCTAAGTTAGTCTACATGTAATATGCAATAAGAAGCATAGAGAAAATCACCTTTTAACACAATTTCTCACAGCAGATAAATGACATTATTATAACCGTTTTTATTTAAACAAAATAGGTATTCACGAATTAAATATTTTACAATAATATGATAATATTTCTTTCCCATGCACAAAAAATAGTCAAGAATAAAGCTATTGTCATTATCCTAATGAACTATATTCTTTTCATTCTGATCGTCTGGTATGCTCAGTAGGAAAAAGATAAAACAAACAAGCAACAGAACTGGGAAATCACGTCTACCGAAAACCCTTCAACCAAAAGCCAGTATAGAAGACTATTCATATCATTTTAGGCTATTTGCTACACATAAGTCAAGACAGACTGTTGGGGATAGCACTTACATATACCAATTACTCATTATCATAAATTTCCGATATGTTACCTAGACGCGAATTTAGCAAATACCACAGTTCAGATTATATATTTGTCAATACCTAGCAATAAAATTGAAGAGAAGCAGTTTTTATGCTACCTGAGACTAACCACCCACATTCGAATGAGCTAGTGTTTTCCACTGTGAAATGAGCCCGGTTCACAAAATTAATGAGGTTGTAGTGCATCCACAATTGGTCGTGCTAAAACAACAATGGAAAAATCTACAGTACCAAATAGGTGTTTAATTTGTATTTACATTCAATAAGGCCATGTCATTTAAAAAACAAACTAGTAAAATCAAGGAACTATTATTACAACAGTTACTCACCAACGAACACCGACGTTCACGCCTAGACATTGGTTCCTCTAAAAATTGTGTAGCTCGACGCCATAAATGTGGTGGGAGATTAATACTTGCAGGAAGAGATAATCTATTTGACACGTTATTCCCAATTTTACCATTAATTGATATATCTTCATATACACTGTCACCATTATCTGCAGTCTGCATTAATCCAAGACGACGAAGCCTATTTCTAGCATCAACTGGTCGTCGACGAACTTCAGCTAAGCCTGCGACTAAATCAGCTGTTGCTGTACCTGTTTCATCGGATGCCTGTACAACAGCCGCTGCAAGACTTGGACCTAAGTGAATTGATAAATTTGATGCATTTTTTGTTTGATTACCGTTATTACCATCAGATTCGATCGAAGGATTCTGTTTAGCATTTCGATCGGTAGCCGAAGAATTAACTTGTTGTGTAGGTACAACTTCATCATTTTCCGTTTCTTCTTCTTGTATAGTAGTACCGACAACAATACGCGAGGAATTGAAACCATCTACAGAATTCCAGGTTGTATTACTACCAATATTTGTTACACCTGGACTACGTGGTGTACGGGATGCACCAGTATTTGATGGTGATTGATTATTATGACTGTTTGTCAGTATGGTATTACTGTTGTTATTGTTATTATTGAATAATAACAAATATCCATTGTTTCGCTGTTTACAGCTACTAACACTTTCCTTAGCTGGATGATGATTTGTTGAGCTAATAATATCCGGTATACAGTTATCATAAATAGGCGATTCAGTTAATTTTAATGAATTACTATTACAGTTTAAAGTGCACATTCTATCCAATTGACCATTCATTTTTTCACAAACATCATTACAACAACAAGAATTATTGTCACTATTAGTAAGTAAGTTATTACTAGGTGATAAGATTTTAGGATAAGTTGATTGCTTATTTGGACTAGATAATTGACTGATATTATGTTTGTGTTGTTGTGTCTCTAGTTTCTCATGGTTATCAGTTAATTCCAACTTTCGATTATCTTCTATTTTAGAATATTTTGTAGAAGATGACACAGATGATAAGTGAGCAGTTGACGAACCTTTACCATTACTGTCAATAGCACGGTTATTAAGATGATTAGGATTTTCACCAGTTGAACAGCAACAATTATTAGAGTCAGACAGCGGTGATGAGGCAACAATTGAAGCTTTGTGTAACTGACATTTACCCGGTGTTAGGGTTGTTGTCGTCACTAGTGCTGGTGCTGCTTTTGTTGTTGTTGGATTCTCTTCAGATTTATGCTCAACAGACTTCGCTCTGTTCCTTTGACAATCTGAATTATTTGTAGTATTTGCAAGAGATGGATCATTGATTGTCTTCCAGTTGTTTTCATTGAATGAATTATTTTCAGATTGACTATGAACTGGTGTTGTCGATTTAATGTCACTATTTTCATCACATTTATTATTATTATTATTATCATTAGCGCCATATCCATTCATCGTACAATTTTGCGATGGTTTATGTTCGTTACTGTCAGATGAATTTAAAATCACAGAGGTTGTGGTAAAGTCAGGCTCAGTGATGAAAACATTTTGTAGTGTTGAGGATTCTGTGGATTTGGCAGCTTGTTCTACAAAAAGCAATCAACAACAAGAGAGACACTTTTAAACTTTTTTTTGTCTCTAGTGCAAACAACATTAAACATTGAATAATTTAGGATAATTTGATTTGATATAAACAGGATGGGGAAGGAGATCACAATTTAATCTTAAAATAAGGTTTTCATTAAGATTAAACATCAGGTGAGCAAATACGACTTATATCTTGGTTTGTTGCTGTTTCAGTAAACAAAATTAAAAAAAAAACTTTTAATTTAAACCATGAGTTGATGAAGGTGACAAAAATTTGAGATGCTGACGATTATTCGAAAGAGGCTACAGTCAGTTTCTAGGTCATGATGAGTTCCTGCGTCGGCTAGTTATATGTTTTCGTGAATTCGTTTTCCATTGGATTTTAAAGGTTTTTCTGGATGTTTTGCTCATTTTGCAGTGTGTAGGTCAGTTTTTGTCACAGGGTGCTACTATTTAGCTTATTTTTAGCCTGAAGTTCACAGTTATTATGTTGGTAGTCAAAGATTATTGTAAACCTGCAATCGTTGAGCTAATTAACGTTTACTATGTTAATATAGTAACATAGAGTATGCTAATAATAGTAACAGTAGACTCCCTTACTGTTTTGCCATTGTTTGACAGTGAACCTGTGCGCTGATTTTTCAGCATGAGTGGCACTAAATCGAACCTACTGGGTTTGCTTATCAACGTTGTTCCAGCCCTCACAGGGCATATTAAGGATGAACTAGCGTTACTCCAGAGTGGAAAGTTTTGATTCAGCACGCAGCTGTCTTTTTAAGCACGACCTGTGTCATTTCAGAACATGGTGGGTAAATATGACCTTCAGTTACCATAAAAAGGCATTATCGAGGAATAGGTAAGAATAAATTTAGAATTGTTTTAAGCTTGGTGGTGCTGTAGTCTAAGTGATAAATCGTATTAATCACCGTTATTCAGGATATGCTATGAACCGGAAATCCTCAGCTGAAAAACGTATGAATAAGACACAGATCGGTGTAATTTATAACGGACTCCAAATCGCTCTCATCACAAAACAGTCAACCAAAGTATGCTTTAAACTGTCGCTCTCAGTCGTTTGAAGGGAAATTTACTTGATTTATGCTGACCTAGTATGCACAAATCCCAAAGGTCATTGAATTGACAACTTAAAAAAGTAGATTAGTTAACACATACATTTATCTATATGTACTAATTAAGGATACATTAAATTTTTAGAAATTGTAGTTAAATTTTATTCTCCTAGTAATCAAAAATGCATACATCCTATTTTGGGCTTAAAATAAATGCATCGAAATTATTGTTGATTTATATTCAGTTACTAGACATTCTCATACATCTTAATGTACTTTAAACACCACCAATGCATCCAAATAGCGTGTGACTATCACACTACACTCATACCAAAAAAATTAACACGCCATTATATAATGGTAAGGTAAGCCCTAAATCATACTGACTGTAAATTTCCGTGTCAAAATAAAAAGATTACCGCTTTAACTTATATTTTAGACCAATAGGAAGCCAGCTAATCAACAGCCAATCAAAATCTGCCTATATCTATTTTCCGATTATTCAGCTTCTCTTATTCAAATAATTGTTTTACACTCATACCGCTATCGACATATCTATACACATATATATTGTAGCTTGAAAATCCCCATTGAATCATATGAAAAAGAGAAGACTCTTTTCGGTGAATTCATTCAGATAGCTGTACAATCGTACTTATATATATAATTATTTGTGTGTGTATACATGAGGTTTGTACCTGATCAATCATCTAAACTTGACAAACCTCATGTACACACACACAAATAATTATATATAAATGCGTTTGTACGGCTATGTGAATGAATTCGTCGAAAAGAGTCTCTTCGCTGAACGTCTTCTCTTTTACATATATATTGCTATATCCACTGCATAATTTTATTTCAACTGATCGGTTCTTTTGACTATATAACGATTACAAATAGGGCAATATTTCTTCAAAGATTATTTAAATACTGCACGGGAGGATATGGTAAATAGAATAATTAGACATAAAAATCTCTCATCACCCCCAGAAAACTTCTGTTTACTTTATAAAACGGTTCAAGTGATAACGAAGAGACGGTGACAGATAAATACATATATATTAACAGACTGCCGGATAGATAGATAAATGGACGCAGGATATACACGAACCATTTAAAGAAGGGAAATGAAATACAATCAGTGGAGAAAAGGAAACATAAAAATCCAGGTTGAATTTTATTTCAGACTTATAGGGTTTTAACGATGTAAAATTGATTTTCAGCATTAGTTTCCTTTCAAACAAAATAAAACCACTTGAAAGTGAAAAGAACTGAAATCCGGAAGGCAATTTAATTTCAATGGCTGTGTGCACGGGCCAGGCCGAGTAAAGTACCAAAAGCCTAACAAGAGAAATAATTATCTCTTTGTAAGGCTATCAGCATAATCAGATAACACTGTACCCAATCAAACTTTTTGTATTTATAGGGAAAAATAAATAAACAAGCAGTACCTCAAAAATTATTACAGATACTAAATGGCTCTTAAAAAATGTCAACATTGGCCTTCATGAATTAGCCAGAGACTCACTAAAATGTAGGAGGTTGATATTGCCTTAAGCGGAATGAGATAGTCTCTGCTATTAGGAGTATTCGGAGACTACATGGGGGGCCTTTAGAAATCTATGCGGTATTCGATAGGTAATAGGAAAATGCTCTTCAATGCCAGCTTTATGGCCTGTTTGGACGAGGTGATCTAATATAGAACTGTTAATGATTATAGCTATGCCTATATTTAGCCACATCTGTAGATGTTCCCCAGCACGAAAAATTAAGTCTCCAGAGGGATGACCAACCTAACTGGGACTACATGAGTAGTTAAATTGTTAGCTAAAAGAAGAGGTAGCTAGCCTTGGTTTTTAATGAATTGATAAATTCTTACATAAGTTTTAAGCAGTGACACCATTGGGCTACTTTACAGAATGGTAAAAGTACTGGATACTAACTAGTAAATTTTAAACAATTTACACGAAGATAAATTGGTATTATCTAGTTCAAGACATCATTTCATTTTCTAATAAGATGGGAAACCTACAAAACTAAGAAATGCCAAATACAAAATAAAACACCTTCCTCCTATAATCCTCTACGATGCCAGTTTTTAGTGGAAATGACTCTTTCATCAATCAACTTTCTTGAAACTAATCAGTTCCTTGAATTCTACAAGCGTTTTGACTTCATTTAAACGTGTAGGGAAAACTTTTTGTCTGATGTTAGTCGATTAGCGACGTCCTCAGCAATTAAAAACGACCGACTTTCTTCCATAGTAATCAGCTAGGATATGAAAACTGAATTGTCGTACAACAGCTATGAATTACAAGTACTGCTAACAGACTCAATAATAACTAAATTCATGTTAATCAGAGATCAAAAAGTATACATCTGTGCCTCTTATACTCACGGCAAAAGTAAAGTTCTCATATAAAACACATAAATATCTAAGATATAAATATCTATATTTTCAATAAACTAAGAACAACATCCAGAAGATGTTTTGTAGCTGAAATATCATGAACTAATGATATGTACAATTTAGGTCAGTGTGCACGTGCAATTTCCATTTAAACTGAAACGAACATAAGTAGAATAACTTTCGTATAATAAGAAACAGGAAAAACTCCAGTGTATTAAATCAATGCAGACATTTAAAAATTAAATCCTACACCTCCAACACCTTCTCATATAATGATCAATTATCATACATGCTATATTCCTCAATTTGTGTATTAGTAAAGTCATCATAAAAAAGTTAGGGTACATGAGAAACGCTAGATGAGAATTATAAGTTAGTGGTTAGATAATCACGATTTATTGACTGATACACCTGAGGTATTCGTCAAATGTCTACACATGGGAACTTGATACTAAAACCGAATTGAGAATAAGTTATGTAATACAAAAGATTTGTAACTCAGGTGGAAGATTTCGAATTAGTTGTGTTCTGTCAGCTGGTTGGTTTAATTGCGAAGCTTTCGTCGTTCTTTTTGACAACATCTTCAGCGCAAGTTCCAGCATAAAATGAACCGATTTAAATTCTCCATGAATGATAGAATTGTGTCTCCTGGCAAACGTCTTCGTCACTGGAAGTCGATTTACACCTGTACTGATAATTTTCTATTGACTTGGAGTTTGAACTTTCTTGTCACGTGATTTACTTTTTATTAGTAGGCAAATTTGGTATATATTAATATGTTTGTTAATCTCTGATCCATTTGAGTACCAGGCTTCTAGGAATTCTCTGGTACTTTTGGTGTTTCCTCCACTTAAAATTTCAACATTATCCCAATCAAATCGGTGTCCATAATTATCCACATGTCTCGATACTAAAGAATATATATCATGTCTTTTTACAGCTAATTTGCGCTCTTGTATTCTGATTCGAAGGGGACGCCCACCTTGACCGATGTAATATCTGTTACAGATCATACGACTTATTTTGTAAATGGTATTAATTTAACCCTCTTTTTCTGTTGAATCTTTTGGTTTGCACAATACCGAATGAAGTGATTGTGCTGGCTGGCTTGTGTACTATATGTATTTCAAACGGTCTTAATATTCTAGCTGTTATTTCGGAGGTATTTTTTATATTTGGTGGGATGAATTTTTTTGTAGTCTTTGATGACGGTTTCTTGTTGGTGCTGTGACTCGACTTTAAACACTTTGCTGAAATTGTGAGGATATGCATTCTTTTTGAAGACGGTTAGTGGGTATTTTTCCTCCATTCTATTCAACACTGGAGTGCTACATTGTGTTTGATCTCTTTTAAACAATGTCTGCACACAGCTTCTTTTGTGGGTAACTGGGTTATTACTACCGTAGCTGAGTATTTAGTCTGTGTACGTTGATTTTCTGTATGATTGTGTTTCTAAATTTCCTGTGTTAGTTCTCCTGATCAAAACATCTAAAAATGGGATTTTGTCATCTAATTC